AGGACTTTGCCATAACCCTACTCCTTGCATGTCAGGAATCAATCGTTTTCCAATGACTATTCCAGCACTTGGGATCAGCAATTGAGTCCCAGAGCCAGAGGATATGCTCTTCCAGAAGACAGCATGCCCACACACTGACTTGCTGCAAGAGGTAACAGGACCCAGGCGGCATCTGATCCTTTAACTCCCAGTGTCTGATGAAGTGCTGCAGTGCAGAGAACAGCCAAGAACAGCTGGTGACCTACCTCAAGGGGAGAGAGGCGTTTCAAGGTGGATTAAGCTGGATTCCTCGAACTCACAGAAATTATATTAGGACTCTTGCTCATGTTCTAGAATTTCCTGTTTGGGCTTAAGGTCTAAAAGGAAGAGGACAGGGAGGGGAAGGGGAAGGAGATTTTCAGGCCACGTGGAGTTTGCCTAAACTTTGCCAGACTTTGTCAACTCCACATAAGAGAAAAGGTTATCATTCTCCTTTTGCCTTTGCAAAGAATCAGAATGTGAAGGCCAGATTATGGCAATCAGCAGTGGGAAAACTGCAGGTTGTATCACTGCAGATTGATGAGGCAACACAAGTTGTAATGCTACTCTAGCAAAGGAGAAAAAATGATGCAAAATGAAAAAACAGCAGGTCAGGAAAACCCCAGTTTGACCCTTTCTTCCTGATGCTCTAGCTTTCTGTGTGCAAGGATCTGTCTGCTGTTGCTTTTGTTTCTCATGGAAAGGCATGCAAGCCCCACTTTCAGTCTGCAAATAGTCTAGAAAGGGCTTGACTGCATCATTTTGCCGGCTTTCCAGAAATATCAGAGCATTGACTTAATAAAGCCATTTTCTCACAGTACAGTACTTCAAAGCCACCAGTTGCAACAAGGAAGGACAAAGGTGAGAGAGCCCTGACTGTTCTCTGGGTGCCACCTCACCACCCTGAAGGGTGAGATGATTGGCTGCTGGGCTGAGAACTTTCTCTGTAATGCCGCCTTGCTTGTGAACTGCCCTTCCAGGGAGATTTGCCTGGTACACACACTGTATACATTTAGATACTGGGTTAAGTCCTCCCTCTTCCTGCAGACCTGTCGTCTTTGTTGGTCTTATTAATGCGGACCTTTTCATTTTTAAATAGGTTGATATTTTCATTGGTTGTTTTACTGTATTGCTTGCCGTTTATTATTGTTTGAGGTTTCATGCTTTGGAGTAATGCATTTTGAGGTACAGATGCTTCCTAAGGAAATGCACACAGTCCAGAGATAGTCCAAAAATGCAGGTTGCTCACTCCCTGGGAGCTTGGCTGCTTGTACCCCAGAGTCCCTAGACTGGCTGGGGCAGCTTCCTCTGATCTATTCAGCTAGGCGTCAGGGACCAGAAACATGAAAGACTTCTGCCTAACAGTCTGAGTACCCAATGCTGGCCAGAGCTGACAGTGCCAAGCTGGCAGACAAGTAGTCTGAGCTGGTATAAGGCAGATTCCTAGGAATGGTAGTCCAATCCTACACAGGTTTAGGTGGAATTCTCACTGGAGAACTTGCAAGTGAACAGGGACCACCCATAAAGTATGACATCCACCTAGAAGGAGTGAGGAACCACAGAAGGCTTGGCCATTGGTTGAACTACAGCAAGGCATGACGAAGGAGCACGGGCTGGCCCTCTCACTAGGCAGAGTGAAGCGGGTGCCTCAGGTGGCAAATCCAGAATGGCAAGGAGCAGTGATGATGTTCGAGGGAAGCTGGCAGGATCCATCCCTCCAGCTTTCATGGATGTCTTCTTGTGCTTGGCCCGGTCTTAGAAAGCAAGCTGAGATGAGAGGAAGTCCATGAATGCCTGTGGAAGTCCAGTTGTTCAACAGGTGGCCTTCTTCCACTTCATGTGCAACAGCACAAGCAAAGCCAGGAGAGGGACGCCACTTGTGCAATGGTTGCTGGGGTCTCAGCTCCTGGCGAGTGCCGTGGGAGGGCTGGACATGCTTGTTGGGCGCTCAGATTCATGGGTGCAGCCAAGCACACCAGAGTCCGTGGCGCCAAGCCCAGGGCCCCCAGTGCAGATTCCTCCCCGTCCCTACACTAGAAGCTTAGATGCAGCCTCCTTTCTGGCTGGCTTCTGTTCATGGAACGGGAGGGTGTTGTCTTGCCTTTCACTGCTAGAAGCAAGATGCCTTCCTTTACGGGAGAGTAAAGGGATGTGTGAAGTGCTTTTTAGAGGATCAAAGATAGAATTCAGCTGTAATATTTAAAACACTGAAACTCTGAGACAGGAAACCTTCAGAGCCACCCAGCTCAGTGCCCCTTTGTGGTCTTAACTCAAAAATGTGGCCTTAGAGAAAGAGACAAATCATGCCAAAGAACTTGCCCTTTTTTAGAAAGGTGTGACCAAAAGGTCTGATTCACAGATCAGCCTTGGCATGATATACCTGCTGATTCTCTCATTATAAGCCAGATTGAATCCTGCTCTTACTTTGGGAAGAGGAGGCTGAGTGCTCAGTCTTGCAGGGCGAGCACTCTAAAGAACGTCTCTCGCTTAATGTATTTTACCTCTAACGATCCATCGGTGATGCCTGGCTATGGCTGCAGAAAGCAGAAGCCTGTCCTGGCTGTGAGCCACATCTGTTCTCTGCATTTTAATTACTTTTGCAGGAGAAAGCCTTGTACTTCAATCAGAGCAGAAGTGGCTCACAGCCTCGGAGCATCAACGGCAGAATCGGGCTCAGACCGTGACAGTGTTACATTGCTACAACGCTACTGCATTCTGGAAAGAACTGGGTAGTGGGCACGGCTCAGTGAGCACACAAGCTTCACATAAACAAAGGCTCTGCAGCATCTCTGGCTAAAAGGGTTCCCAGTAGGGGAGCTGAGGAATGTCTGTGCCCAGTACCTTGGCAGATGGCAGTGATGAGTCCGTCAAAGCCTGCAGGAATGGGGAGGATTTTAACTGGTGCTCAGTTTAATGTGAATGCACCTAAGAGTGAACCAATATAAAAAGCAAAGCTGGCGTTATCTTTCACAATTCACATTCCTCCCAATTCTGCAGTTCTCCAATTTAAAACATGCATACACCCCACCCCCCAACAGAGTGCATTCAGTAAATGCATATTAGGGGAAGGTACACACAGAAATGCACATATTGGTGAAAACAGTATTAACAATACGAGGAAAAGGGCTTGGAAGGAGGGTGCAAATTCAACAAAATTGTATGCAAAAATGCACGCATTGGAAGGAAAGCCCACAAGCAAACCTGTGTTTGGTACCAATCAAATTTAGGATTAGGAGAAATTCTCAAGGTTCGCAACAGACCAAATTTAGTGTTGGAAAAATGGAAACCAGCATAAAAGAACCTGGTCACCTCATGACCAGAGGTGATGCATTGGTGCAAGGCAGTTTCGCATGTGCCCCAGCACAGTCGTTAGTGGATTTTGTGAAATTCAGATAAGATGGTCTGCTTAGTTTAAAAGATCTTTCTCTCATCTTGACAGTCCTTCCTAACAAGTGAAGAGAGGGATTATTATGTTGTACATATAATATAATATAATATAATATAATATAATATAATATAATATAAAACATAATAGCTAGCCATCTATGTAGGTTCTCTGGCAGCTTAGGAAACTAATTGAAAGGTATAATATAGTGGTTAAGCGCACCAACTGGGAATCGGGCAACCTGGGTTCTACTCCCCACATGACCATGGAACCAACTGGGTGACTTTGGGCCTGTCACTGATGCTCTGTCCAACCTATCTGACAGGGTTGTTGTGGGATCATGACTGAGAGCAAGAGGAGGAGAATGAACTAAGCTGATCTGAGTTCATACAAAAAAGTGGAATAGAAATCTAATAAATAAATAAACCAATATGCTGAATTGCTTTCACTGCTTATGGCAGATTTATTTGTGTGGGGCCGAACTGGGGAAAATATTTTTAGGATTGTCAATCTGAGGACCAAATCCTAATGTGAAAAGGGTCTTTGAGGGCACGTTCCAACAGTGGCTGGAGCTGTGGTCAGCTCCGTTCTTATATAATGAGTTATATTATCTGTTGTTATGTGTATAAAATCTGCTAATTCTGAGCCACATTCTCCTCCAGTGAGAAATGAACAGGACCTAAATGTGAATAACATTTGCTAAATTTTACTCATTATGTTCTTCAATATTATGTTCTGTTCCCCTGGGATACAACTGAATTTAGAACTACTGGCATATTTCAAAAAACTTGAAACTTCCCACACCACATTTGTGTGTGTGTGTGCAGGTGCACATACACACAACCTTTCCTGCTTTCTGATCATCTGAAATGGTGTTTTTATTAATCCAGTAACATTCTGTACATTTTCCATTTCAGATTCTTTAAAAGGCATAAATGACAGCATGAATCTTAACCTTTAGGAAGTTGCTTCACAGACCTGAAAATATATTCAAAGCTTATTAAAAGCTGTGATTTCCCTGGTAACTTATGTGAAATAGCTAATTCAGTGGGGCAGAACGTCAGAATGAGGGCATGCTGCTTCATTCCAGCCCTCTAGGGTTCCCTGGGTGGGGGAAACACCCCTTCCCCTTTCCCCCAGCTGGTGCTCACTTTTGATTTTCTGGCTTTTGTGTAGTTTTTACCCATCCTAAAAAGTTGAAATGACTCTCCTAGGAATCTTTGCAGAATGTATGCAATCTAGTCAGAGCTGAAATTTAGAAATCCCACTGACTGCTGAGCTTCGTTCTCTTCTAGTGAAACAAATAGAACTTAAATGTGGATAGCAATAGCAGGATATTGCCCATTATGTTCTGAAATGTGATCTTCTGTTCCCCCAGGGAAGTCCTGTTTGGGACTATTGGGCACAGTTTTATAAAACAAATAAATAAATAACTGAATTTAGAAGTGCTGATGTATTATGAAACCTTGAAACTTCCCTCTTTCTCGCATACACAGACACACACAGAGAGAGAGAATGAGATTGAGACTTCTTTGTTGCCATAATCTGAAATGGTGCTTTAATTGATCCAATAACATTGTATAATTTTGCATTTCAGGTTCTTTGTTTCCAGATTTCAAGCCATCAGACACCATTTTTAAAATTGCATTTTGGCTTGGCTACCTAAATAGCTGCATCAACCCAATCATCTACCCTTGTTCAAGTCAGGAATTTAAAAAGGCATTCCAGAATGTTCTAAAGGCCCAGTGTCTCACACGGAAGTACTCAGCCAATAAATATTCTCTTAGCTTCAGTCTTAATCACCCAAGCAACCATGTCGCAGAAGCATCAAAAGATGTCATCCACATTCCTGTTGGTTCGGGAGAGAACTTCTACAAGATTTCAAAATCAGATGGCGTCTGTGAGTGGAAACTTTTCTCAGCCGTGCAGAGCATGTCCACCAGGAGCACTGCCTCGAAGGACAAATCCAGTTGTGCCACCGCCAAAGTAAAGAGCAAAGGTTTCCTGAGGGTTTGCTGCTGTGCAAGCACATCAGGAAACAACACCCCAAAAGACCGGAAAGTGCCCGCCATTAAAATACACACTGTGTCTGTCAGTGATAACGGAGAAGATGTCTAAAAGATGTCTTTCAAGTGGGCTTGGTTAAGTCTTCCCTGCTCCACTTAAGTCAGGGCAACCAAAGAGGAGGGGGCATATATCTTGGTGGGGTGTACAGAAGAGAAGAATTCTACAGCGGGACAAGCCTTGGATGGGTTCTTCATGGGTGGAAAATACTGAGAAATGCTCATCCAGGGAGAATTAAATCCCACTGGAATCGGTGGGATTTGGAAAGGGACCCACGTGGGGCTGGACTCCTTCAAATTATTCAGATACTATTTCTATACTGTTTTAAAGATTCTGTGATACAGCTTATTTCATTTCGAATTGTTTCGCACTTTTTGTTGTAAAAGATCGATGGAGTAAAACAGTATTGTAATATATCCTACTGTAGAGAAGCATTAATATATGTTCTTCATTTTGTCACAGGTACTTTTTATGGCTCTCAGCTTTATATTGCAGAGTAGCTCTGTATTTGTGAATCTGACAAGGCAGCAGTATAAGGTAAGGAGGGGGATATTCAGACAAAATCTGAAGTGCATGCCTTTTCAGACAACTCCCTGCTTTTGCTAATGGGATTGTTTTAATCCTGTGAAATCCAGTGAGTTCCATAAAAAAGCAACGGATGTGATTGGTGCATACAGCTAAGCACAAACCCACATGTTGAGCTTGTGAGCCAAGCACCAATACTTGAGTGGCTCTCTTCACGTGCACTCGGCAAACCCAGAGGGCACGGCTTCTCCATGGTGATGTGGCAAGAGTGTGGGTGTGAACAGGACAGTCGGGCAGGCAGAGGTCACCACGTGGTCACTATTATCACATCAGTACTACATCACATTTATTTCCTGCCTTTATTTCCTCTTGTGAGCTCCATTTTATCCTCAAACTATGAAGGAAGGTTAGTCTGAGAGTGGGTAGATGGCTCGAAGTCACCCTGTTACCTTCATCCATTACCTGTAGGGTGCCGATTAGGCGGGACTGGGGATGTCCAAGAAATCTGCAACAGATTCAAGGGAGTCTGGATTTCTATGAATCTGACCAGCAAATTCCAATTTTTGTGGGAAGGGGATCTGCCCTAATTTGTATTAACCAATATGGATTAACGTGAGTGCATATTAGTGCTACTGCACACTTGGTGAATGAGCACTAGTGCAGATTAGCAGAAGTAGAATGAACGCCAGCTTTTAAAATTCAGTGCCCACAATGAGCAGTTGAATGTAGATGCCTAAGAATTCAGAAAATACCAAACGGATTATTTGAGAGGCTCCCTTACATCCGCACGAACTGTTCTGCCATGCAATAGCATGTTATCCAGAAGCGGCGACTCCTGTATTATTGGTGTGCGTATGAGGAAGTCCTCAATCACTTATTTCTTTTCACTTTCTCTTTCCCTTTCTTGATTTTTATCCTTTTCCAAAGATGCCTGAAAAATCTCGATGAGTAGTTTTGAGACTTCACCTACTCTGTGTTCCTTTACGTTGCCTGTTGCGGTACATTCTTTCTTGAAACGCAATGTGCATGGTGGGAGATAGGCAGAAACAAAATAATGTATATTTAGAACCATCATAATGCCATGAAATGGCCTTCCAAATCTGTGGGACCCTTCAGAGCCTACCAGACCTTGAGTACTGCCAAACTTGTGAGATCATCACACCCAAAAGGCCGTACACAGACGATCCTCACAGAATCCAGACTCTTTGGTCTTCTCTTCCCTCTTTCTGGAATTTGCAGCATTCTTTCTGGAATGTTCAACCACTAGGGTGAATGTAGACTGGGAGGTAATGCAAAGAAAATAGATCCATACTGCAAGCCCACACTGACTACAAGGTCATCTTTTGCAGTCATCCTGTTGTGTAGATTTGTGGAAATGTACCTTTTATTAGGCCCGAGTGAAGCAGGGGTTCAGAAAACTGCAGAAATGTTCTAACTTGTGAAGCTCATGGATAAGGACAAGGTGCGTGTCAAACCATTAAGACTAGAGCTGATCAGATTTGTTCTTCAAGCCATCACAAAATGATCATTCAACAAAAGATTATACAACCAGATTCTTAGCTCCAAGATCAGAGACCTCTCTGACTTCAGAGCTCAGAACTGGAGCTCCAAGCCTACGTCCCCATTGTGTGAGCAGCCTCTTCCAAGTCAGAAACACATCCCAGAGAGGGAGGAAAGGGGACTTTGGGTGGCCAGGAAGGAGGGAGGCAAAGATATGAGCTATCCTGCAGCCACTCCAACCTCCTTTTCTTTCACTCTGAATCACTTTCATTTAGTGAGTGAAAGAAGTCCATTTAGTGGAGGAAAGAAGATGACCTCTGCTTTTGAGCCTCTGCATCTGCGGACTCAGAGAACTGTGCCAAATCACGAGTTATTTCTGTGACAAATATTCAGGAGCACATGAATAAATTTGTGCATGCTGGTGACTTATTCCTCACCCAACTGGCTCTCTGCCAAAGAGATGTCTGTGTGAGCTGCATCCCCAGATTATTTCTATATGCTTTAGAAAGACTTGATTTCAGTACAAAGAATAAAACAGACCACATCCAAGTGGAGAAGACTAAGACTCCAAGGTGGCTTGCCCTTGTCCAAAGCATCATTTCTAGTGTACGCACAATTATTTGGACACACCTTAGTAAAGAGAAGAGAGAGGAGCTAAGCTCATCAGACAGGTATATCCAGGAATTATCTGTAGGTTTACACAGAAGCTGTTTTTCAGATCATATATAATCAGCCTGATAGGTAGATAATTCTTGTTGACTTTTTTGATAACAGAAACAGGTTTGTGTTTTCCCAAGGACAAAGTGAGACCCTCCATGTATCTCACCCTGTATTGTCAATCAAAGATTTCACAAAGCTCTCCCAAGTTTCAGGCAGGAGTTCTTCCAGCCCTGCCTGGAAATACTGGGGAGTCAACCTGGACTTTCTTCTTGCAAAGCATGTGCTGCTCCCACTAAGCTGCAGTCTAACCCTGCCAGATGCATCCACACCATGGCATGACATTGGGTTTATGCCCGTTTAAGTTAATTCTCTCCTGCAAAGAATTCCAGGACTGACACTTTGCTGAGAATTGTCTCTACCCACTTTGCACCCGGGACATCTTAGGTAGCCTGAGGCAAGGGAATTGTGTTAAACAGTTTAAGCCCACAGCACAGTCATGCCCACAGAGATTTATGTCAATTGACTTTGGCTAAATTAAATTGCTTTTCTTGAGATTACCAAAACATAAATCATTGCCCTAAAACAAGGATAAAACAGCTCATCTCTTAGCTATTGACGTCAGAGGGAGTTTTCCATTAATATAAAATGTTCTTTTTAAAAAATCGAATTCAGTGCTCCCTGATTAAACCAGATTTCTTGAATGTGGATGATCAGAAATCCTAACAGGCAGGATGTCACAACAAGCCCTGTGAATGGTTCCATTCGAGAAATGAACTCCTTACAAGATTCCTTTCATTTGCTTTAACAGTGGGGGATGCCGCTCACATAGGATGGGAAGGAGCAGAATGCAGGGTCAGCACCCTCGCTAGGCATGGCTGGGTGATTGCCAGGGTCTCACATGCCCACACAATAACAGCAGACCCCTGCGTTCGCTTCCCTTCTTCATGCCTGCAGACAGCTTGTTCCCCTGTCCCTTGTTCCAGTCCATACAATAGTAGGGGAGGGGAGGGGAGGGGAGGGGAAACACGAGCAGCTGGTGACAAAGGTCTTGAGAAGAACACACCGAAGGAGGAGGCCCATTGAGGATGTATTATGCAAGGGCCCTCAAAAACCTGGTGTCAGCACTGTGCACGTCACACATTCCAAAGAAGGAATGGTTCGGGCTCCACTTAAGTCTCTTATTAATTGATGCCTAGATGGTCTAAGTGATGAAGGGACCAGCACTGATCAAACGTCTTGGATAAGAACTTTCATTTACGCATCTCAATGGGATTGGTGGGGGAGGCCCTTCTCCGGGAGCCCTCTGTGAAGGATATTGGGAGGGTGAGTACCCGGAGGAGGGCCTTCTCTGTGGTGGCGCCCCACCTATGGAATGTGCTCCCCAGAGAGGTCTGCCTGGCACCATTGTTATTTGCTTTTCGGCGCCAGGCCAAGACCTTTTTATTTAAACGATATTTTAATTGTTAAACGGTTGTTTTATTTGTGGTTTTAAATTATGGCTGAGAAACTCCAAATTTTTAATGTTATTCTATTCTTTGTTTATTTATTTCCTTTGTAAGCCACCCCGAGGCTTCGGCGATGGGTGCGGCATAAAAACGTTATAAATAAAATTAAAAAAATAGGGGTTGCATACAGCCTAAGTTATTTATTTATCAATTAGATTTATATCCTGTCTTTTTCCATTAAAGAATTAAAAGTAGCTTGAGCCATTCTCCTCCTCCTCCTCCTACTCTTTATCTTTTCCCCACATCAGCAAACCTGTGAAGTAGAGAAACTGTGATGGGCCCAAGGTCACCCCGTTGACTCCATGACCAAGTGGGGACTAGAACCCCAGTTACCTGAGTCCCAGTCCCATGCTCTCAACCAGTACCCCACACTGGCTCTCAGTCATCGATAGTCCAGTTGAAATCAATGGAACTTAGGTCCCACTGATTTGGAACAGACACACACAAGATTAACTCAGCCTGTATCAAACTCCTTGCTTTTCAGTAAAGTTGTTCAACCATTCATTGTCAGTTACCAACTGTAGAGAAATTGGTAGTTCATATGTGAACGATCCCTGCGTGATTGAGCATATCCATCAGATACCTTCCATGTGCAAACTAGACCAGTGATATTGTGTTTGTTTTAAAAAAAAATCTATAGATTTGGAATTGCCCACACTTGCTTTCTGGAGAACCCATCATTAGAAGCTTTTCAGATTGCATCCATTCATATGACTGAAGTGTCAGTCAAAGATTTCACAAAGCCAAAGATCTTTACAAAAGCCTTTTCTATTCCATTAAAATAATCAAGAATCCTGGCAGCGTATCTGTAATTTTCCTCTCTTTTGCCATAGCTTCAATGCAGCTCTACACTGAATGTGTTGAAGACGCTGAGCACTTCAAATAAGTTCACAGAAAATGTGAGGGTTGGAAGGTAGTTGTTGACCTTTAAGACAGCTTGAAAAATGATTCAATTTGGCTATTTTCCTCAGTCTCAACCTGCTTGGAGAATTCTGTTCCCCTCCCCACTCCATAGGAAAAAGGGGAAAGATGCATTTTGGTACTATACCTTTTCCCTCAATAAATCATGCACTAGCCACAGAAAATAGCTAGCATTCAATGTTGTGCCATAAGCAGAATACACACTTTATTGTCCATATAGCCTGAAAGAATGCTAGCAAAGAGAGAGATATATATGAGGTAGCAATATATACAAAAATTCATGCCATGGAAGAAATGTATGGGGAAATACTTAGGAATTTCTATTCATACTTTTAAAAATATTTTTGATGTTCAAGACAAACTGAATTGTAGACTTGATGAACTGTCAACATTCAAGATGAGGTGAAGTTATGATTGGAAAAATTTAAAAAAATGGAGGCAAATTGGAGGACCTATTCATTCTTCTCCTCCAAAACTCCCCTTGTCTTCCTGGAATTGATACTCTGGGACTCCTCCCAGTAAACATTACCAGTAAAATAAATGTAGGCAGATGATCAGTGTAGTAGCAGTGTAAATGCCAGTTGAAATCCGTGGGTTTAACCCTCAGTAAATATGACGGGGCTCGGATGCTTGTTAGCCAACTTAGTAAAGAGATGAGAAAGCTGCCCCTGAGATTGTGTCCTATGGCAGTTTGTGCTCCATAAACAACTTGCATGACCCTTTATGTCCCATCATGTATTACCACATTCTCCCAAAAGCTAGGATTTTGAGAAAACTTTGTTGTTCGTATGTGGCAGTGACCTCTCAGAAAGGAAGAACCCACATCTGCCTCTCGTCCCTCATGGCAGTTGCAAAAGTAAGATGGACCGTTGCAAGACTTTCAAGTGGAGTGCCTGGCAAGACTTATCCCAGCTGCTTTTGAAGACTTCCTGTGCAGTTCCATGCTCTGCACGTAGGAAATGTGTTGTATCTGAAATGGTCATCACTAAGTAGCTCAATGTAGAAATGCCCCATGACCAAACTGGAATTTCTAGAATGCAACATTTGCCCGCTGAATATCATGTTTGCATGTGTTTCTTGATTCTTTCTACCAATTTCTACTTCTGAT